GGAGGGAGGAGGGAGGAGGGAGGAGGGGGGGGGGAGAGAGAGAGAGAGAGAGAGAGAGAGAGAGAGAGAGAGAGAGAGAGAGAGAGAGAGCTGGTGGCAGCCCACCTGAACGGACGCCTCGTCGCTCCCACTGCCTGCTCGAGCTGCCTGCTGCTGCCTCCTGCTGCCTCCCGCTGCCTGCTGCTGCCTCCTGTTTCCTCCTCGAGCTATGGCTGAAGGTGCTCTGCCGAAGGGCTGGTCCGACGACGACAACGAAGAACAGGCCGCCGCCGAAGGAGAGCAACAACAACGGGCGGGCAGGCCGACTACCGGGGTGCCGAACTGAGGAGTGGGGTTGGCCTGAACCCCGTTGGGGAGGTCTGAGTAGTTCGAAAACGAAACACTCAGATCTCCCCCCAAATTTTTTTACGGGCCCGCGCGCGGCCCGAAAAAAAATTTGCGCGCCCAAACAACCATTTTCCCCCGGCAGCCCCCCGGGCCTAATCCCCCCCCCCCAAAAAAAAAAATAATTCCGCGACCCCTCATTTTCCCTGTGCGGCGCATGTCGTGCGCGCGCCAGCTGCGCGGTGCGCTGTGCGCCGCACCTGCCGCGACGCCGCGCACGACATGCGCCGCAAGTATGTTAATAACCGATTTACTACAATTATAATAATTTTTAACTTGTTCGTAATCATTCATTTGCATAAGAATGATGTGTTCTGCATACGGTTGAGCAGCCGGGTACTGACTTATTAAGGGCCTCGCCACACCAATGTCGAAACGGTGAAATTTTCGACAACTGTCAGACCACTTTCGACATTCACCGATTCGACACAATGGCCGCCTTCGCCACACCGCAGTTTCGTTTCTAGACAAGGGAAGAAAAACAAACAAAAAGAAGAAAAAAAAAAAAAGAAAGAAGAAGACGGGATCTTGAGGCATAGATGTCGAAATCAGCACATCCTTCAACACCTCGTCTCCGTGATGTCGAAACTGGACCCGCTGCAGGCGGGTTTGACACCCATGTTGAAACCACCTTTCTGACCATTGTCGGAAAATTTTCGACATTTTTTCTTCGACAGTCTGTGTGGCGAAGAAAAAATGTCGATAACTTGAGTTTCGACATTGGTGTGGCGAGGCCCTAACCGTCTCAGTTCTGCTTGTTCGGTTTGATTCGTGTCGTCTACATAGAATCTGTTGTGAACAGGCTGGATCTATTTCTGTGTAGCCCTTTTCAAAGGGGGCAAGTTGCAGAGATACCGTTTCAGAGAAGTCTGGTCGCAAAAATACCGCTCTGCCCGACGTGCACTTTGACAAATATGCCCGCAACGTTGCTGCTGCAATACCGTTTTTCAAAATTTTTAAGCAGATAATTCTACCTACCGGTTTGGCGGCAACAACTTTTAAGTGCGAAAGCAGCCAAATTTTCGCCGCTTGGAATCACTGACCTGAGCAAACTCAGCAGCAAACTGTAGATTATGAAGAAGATGGGAAAAAATCAGTGTGGAAAATTTTGACTTTTTTTCGGACTCTCTTGAGCTAATGGCGGTCCTTCTCTTTCGTAACACAGGACCGGTGGCAGCCACCTGCCCTGGAGTGCTTGCTTGTGGTCAGTCAGGGAGGAGGGGCTCTGTCAGACTGTCATGAAAGACTTATTTCTGCACGAGAACTGTATTTCTGACAGAGCCCCTCCCTGCCTGACCACAAGCAAGCACTCCAGGGCAGGCGTCTGCCGCCGGTGCCCTCACTGGGCGTCACATACGCTTCCAGAAATATGGTTCTCGTGCAGGGAGGGGCTCTGTCAGACATACGGTTCCAGAACCGGCCGGTAAATCTGCTTCGAACCTGCACGAGAACCGTATTTCTGGAACCGTACAGGCATATGTGTGGCCATATAGGTGTGGACAGGTATTTCTGGAACTTTCCCCCCTGCCCTGGAGTGCTTGCTTGTGGTTAGGCAGGCAGGCAGGGTCTTATGTCACGAAAGATGGACAGAAGGTTAACCACTCCCCAAAACAAACACCAAATTTGGCACGTACAAACCTCTACCAAAAACAAAACAGGGCACTCGGTTCCAGTCGGCGGTCGCAGGAGGCCGCAAAGGGAAGGGTAGGGGGGGGAGTGCCTGGGGATGGGAAAGGAACCGGAGTTCCGCTCGGTCGACATAGGCTGGGGTCAGACCGTTCGTTGTAGGTCTGTGTAATAGGTTAGAAGACAGGTAGTAGTTAGGGGAGGTAGGAGGAAGGGTAGTTTTGAAGCAGAGTAAAATCCATTGCATAGGAGGGATCAGGAAAAGGTATGTGAAGAATAGATCGGAGGGCGTGCTGTGTCTGTAAGGGATCAGTAGGCACTCATGGAAAGGTCTTGTCTTGAAGAGAAAGGGAGTGATCACAATGGTTCTCAGCCCTGAATGCTGTAAGCTAAACCGGCTAATGCGGCCGGGATAAGCCCGGGTTGAATTGTGAGGTCCCTGGCCTCAGTGCAAGTGTTGATTTGAAATGGAAGTGAAGGGCAAAAAAAGAAAAACTAAAAAAAAAAGAAAAAAAAAGAAAAAAAAAACATGATCCCCACTGCACTTTTCAGGGTGGTGAAGGGTACCCTAGGGGTGAAAAGTGGGGGTACCTGTTAACCATTTGTGGGGCCGGTAAATCTGCTTCGAACCTGCACGAGAACCGTATTTCTGGCACTGTACAGGTATATTTGTGGCCATATAGGTGTGGACAGGTATTTCTGGAACTTTGTAGGAATATTTTTGTTTGTGGCCGTTCGGGGGCGGAGAGGTATACTTGCTATGGTACTTCTCCAAACAGGTATTATTGCAATTTGCCCTTTTCAAGAATGACTGATCAGCTCATCATGTGTATGGATTTAGGGCATCTATGGTCCATGGCGTGGGGTGATTTATTTCTCGGAATATTCTGCCAACAATTTTTGTTTTTGAATCGTATGTCACATATCTATATGAAACGCGGACGAAACAGTTTGTCACAGCCCGTCGTTTGTTGGCCTCTACTCCCCCCCTCTCTCGGCCTACGGTTTTTCGGGCAGCAGCTCTGCTTGACGATGTTGTGGTTGTTTCAGCACGTATGTTAGGCTCGCGCCGCAGTTTAATAAATATTGAGTGGCAGCGTCATGATCTGAGCCAAATGGAGCAAAAGCAGGTACTTCGTGATTAGAAAATGAGATCCAGTGATCTCCTTTCATGGCAGGCTTGGGTGTTTCCTTTTTTTTTCTGGTTTTGCGCTCTGATATCTTTGTGACGAATATATATGATGATTATGACGATATATATACGAAATATATGTATATATATATATATATATATCTACCTGTCTTTGTTTTGTGGGTGTTTTGCTGGCTTGTGATGGGGTGTGAACCGACAGTCTGTAGAGTTTTCCTTCTGGTGTGGGTGAGTGATAGTCTACTTTGATTTTGGTTAAGGTGGATTATCACTTACAGTGTAATCAGTGAGGGGATTCCGCAGAC